AAAGAAAAGTCTACAAAATTATCTTATCTTCTAAAAAGGCTACAAGGCTATGTGACAATAATTTAAATTTGAGATTGTCTTTTTTCAATGGGCAAATTCTCAAAACACATATATAAGGATGAAGATTTGAAGATTGAAGACGGAGTTCAAGATAGCAAGCAAAGCCAAAAAATGCACGAACAAGTGCATACAAATTACATAGAAAATTAGTGATTATTATTATAAAGTGTAGTGAAACACCACCTTTTTAATGTAAATGAGTGAGTGGAATATTTTTTATGCCCTAAGAATAACAACTTTTTTTAAAATACTAAAGTTGGTAAAGATACAAAATTTGAAGCGTGTGTATATATGAAACAATACTTTCTCATAAAAATTGAAATAATCACATTTATCCATTTAGGTTGATCAACGACTTAAAAATAAGGAGAATACAAAAGAAAAAATAATGATATTTTTGTAGATATTATAAACTTTAATTGATAGTGCATTGAAAAAGCTTAAGAGCGTATCTGGTGATAACTAACACTAAACTCAATATATAAAAAGAGTGCAGTCAAATTTGTTGCATTGATATATGTTACAATGAAACAAATTTGAATGCATTAATTTTAGGTCTTAACTCTTGAGCACATCATTAGTTATTAATGATTGCTCTGTTAAGATTATCAATGCATGTATAAAGTTCATAAAATTATAAAAATGTTACTGTATCTTTTTCTTATTTTTCGTCATTGCCCGTCCAATCATTCTACATAAAAAGTTGAGATTATTTTTTCAAAAGGCTGAACCCCAACCCTAAGGGCCCCCCACACCCTGACCCGACAGAGCATTTGGGAGGATGTAAATCATGGTGACTCAACTGAACATGAACCATAAAGGCTAGACCGGTGCTCACTGCGCACAAGGAGCCCCCTCACTTTGAGAGGTTGCTCCCACACTGCCGCTGGTGAGATTATTATTCCACATTTTTTTACGAAATGACACATCCTTACCGTGAGTACTAACCCAATAGTCAAAGAATTATTTGTGGTATATATTAACCAATTTTAATAAATAGATAAGCATTTGTCAATAAATATTATGCAAATTGTTAATGCAAACATAATCCCATGTTGAAATGAAATTATATTCATGGAAGGAATAATCTTGAAATATTAAGAACTTTTTGAATAATGTCAACGAGAAAATCTAACCAATTACTTTAATATAATATATGAATTGATGGAGTTTAATTGTTTCTATTTATATAAATAAATTGATGCATTTAGGAAATCTCAAATAGATTTTTTAATGATATATTTTTATATGTTAATTTTATTTATAAAAAAATAAATTAAATTTTAATATATTTTGATTATAACTTAGCTAGGCTCATCATGTTGTTATATGGACCTTGGTCTACAGTATAAATATTGATGTAGGATGGGGTGAGAGTACATAAGTCGGTAAGAATAATTAGGTGTCATGATTTGTATTGCTACTAATTGGTAGACAATTATGCTTAAATAGAATTTTTTAATATTAAATATACATTTTATATGTTGAAATCATAAATAAATAAATACCGAGTACATTTTTAGATGGGGTGACAATACATGCTAATCGTACTTTGGTTGATAACAATAATTAGGTGTCATGATTAGTATTGCTTAATTGTTACGCAATTATGCTTATATAGAAAGAAAATTATATTAAATATACATTTTATACGTTGAAATCATATGTAAGTTGGTAACAATTATTTTAGGCATCATGATTAGTATTGCTAAATTGGTAGGCAATAATCCTTATATATAAAAAACTATTAAATATACCTTTTATATCGTTGAAATCATAAATACCTTTTTAGATTATGATCATATTTCGTTTATAACGTTTCAATTACATATACATTATTTTTTATTGTGATTTTATACCTTTTATATCGTTCCAATCATAAATATCTTCTTTACTATATATATTGCCAGTTGAGCTCTAAATGAAAGTATATCGACTTATAAGTAAAACTACAATATGGAGAAGACACTATCTCACTTGGTTCTTTCTGTAATTTTTTGCGTTTTCATATTAGGTACTTTCTTCCTCCTCAAACCCATACATCTTTATAAGCACACAACACGGCTGTGTTTAGAAACCCGAAAAATGATTTCTGGAAATCATTTTCTGAGTTTTTGGTGTTTGGCTACACTTGGAAAATCCAGTCAACGGAAAATATTTTCCGTTGACTGGGGAAAATGTGCTCAATTTGGCGGAAGTCATTTTCCGCCCTTGCTATTTCTTTTTTTTTTTTTCTTTTTTTTTTTTGGCTTCTGGCGGAAACCAGTTCCGCTAGAAACCATAGCCATGGTTTCCGGCGGAAATAGCTATGGTTTCCGGCGGAACTGGTTCTGCCAGAAACCAAGGTTATGGTTTCTAGCGGAACCGAGTTCCGCCGGAAACCAATGGTCCAGATTTTTCTTTTCTTTATTTTAAATATAGTTTTAAACATTTTTAAAATGTATTTTTTTTTATTCTAAATAAAATAATTAAAATATTTAATTATATCATTATACTCATTTTTTCATAAAATGAACCAAACACACCAAAGCAGTTTTCCAAATGTAACCAAACACGGGAAAAGGAAAATGTTTTCCGAAAAATGACTCATTTTCCAGAAATCATTTTCCAGAAGTCATTTTCCTACTTTCCAAACGGACCCTTAGTTTTTATTTTGTCACATCAACCATGTTTACCATGAACTTTCATATGGAAATTTTTCATAATCACTTAATTACCATAAATACGACTTATCGACATTATAAAACTGATCTATTAATTTTATTGAATATCAAAATGTATGTTTAACAAATTTTATTTGTAGGTTCACAATTTTCAAACGTTGTTGCGCACACAAATGATTTAGAAGATATAAAGTGCAAAACAGAGGCAGATTGTGCAGAACAACTAAAATGCATCAGTGGTTCAGTAATATGTGACAATGGAATTTGCAGATGTTTAGACAAAAGTACAAACAAATTCAAAAAGACAAATTGCAAAACAAATAAAGATTGTGTAAGGATAATTTGTTTTACTGGCGGAGCAAAATGTTATGAGGGAATTTGTCAATGTATAGATTAAAGCATAAATTTGCATTGACTTGCTAGACGGGTTATATGTCTCCAAGGAGTATGCATATGTCAATGTAAGAATTGATGATATTCAACAATTGAGTATCAAATTAATTAATAAAATTATCATTTACTTTTATGATGATTGGGCGATTTTGTTAACACCATTCCTAGTATGTGCAGTATTTGAGGTTCTAAATTTAAAGTTATTCAGAATGACTCATTTTCATTTGTTATTTATGAATTGACAGACCTCATTACATGTTAACAAAATGAATATACTTAATATTAGAATAGTGTAAACAAATATACTTAATATTTGAATAATGTAATATCATGCAGTAAATTTAAGATAGTGTAATTTTACTTCAATTTAATTCTGTGACAATCCTTTATTAATATTATTAGACGTATGTTTTAGTATCATTTTGATTTGGTGTTTAATTATTTATTGTAATTAATAAAATTCGTAATTTGATAGTTTAATCATATAACTGGATGAATTTATGAACGATGACAATATTTATGCTTGCAAAGTTGAATTGTAATTATCATTTTAAGAATTTAAAAAAAAAAGTTTTAAAAATACAAATCGTTAGATAGAGTTTTTTTTTTTTTTTTTTTTTTTTTTGTTAAATAAAATTGCTTTTTAAAAGGGAAAACTTCAATTTGAGTCATCACAGTTATTCTATGGCTTAATAATAAAAATTAACATGTGATCTTATTATTTAATTATTGCACAATTTCCTCAACAAACCTTATTTCCATAATCGGTGTTGTAAGATGAATCACATTCCATGGTATTATGAATTAATGATTGCACAATTTCTGCAAGAAACCTTTAGCATAGAAGTTTTAATGCTCTTGTTACATTTTTATTATTATTATAAGGAAGGGGATACCTATATGTGATCTTATTATTTAATTATTGCACAATTTCCGAATTAATGATTGCACAATTTCTACAAGAAACCTTTAGCATATGGGCGTGAAGTTTTAATGCTCTTGTTACATTTTTATTATGATTATAAGGAAGGGGATACCCTATATGCACATTATTTGCCTCAAGTGAAATTCAAACTATTCACCTCCCACTTAAGGGAACAACTGGGTACCAATGGACCACAAGCCACTTGGTTGCTGTAGTTACATTTAAATGATGTAATAGTGACCTTGTGCTCAGATGACACCTCTGTGGCTCTCTTTGAGTCACAGGATTTTCTTTGAAGGAAGGTCACACAATCGAACCCGGATGGTGGGATATTGACTCTTTGGATTGCAATAGATAGAGAAATGGGGGTTAATACCCAATATAGTTCTTGACAATAGCGGTTTTACTCAATTTAGTCCTAAATGACTTTTTGTACTTGACTTTGAATGAATCATCCCAAATGGAACGAAGGATGAGAAATTACCATTAGACCCTATTTCTAACCGTCAACTAACCGAATTTTTAACAAAGGATTAAATTATGTAAAACCATCAAAATCGATGACTTACACAAAAAGTAATTTAACACTAAATTGAGTAAAACCGCTATAGTCGAGGACTATATTAGGTATTAACTCATCATAGAGAAAGTATAAAACAAATATTACCTTGTAATACAAACAATAGTACTCCAAAAAAAATGATGTAATAGTCGTACTCAACCACAAGCAAATTTTTTTGTATACCTTGATTCACCTTTCAAAGTGAACCGAGTTTTAAAATATATAATTTACATACTGAATGTTCACAATTTATATATACAATTTACATACTAAATGTTCACAATTAGTACGTAAATTATGAATAGTATGCAAATTATGTATTTTGGATCGGAGTCCATGGTATAACTGTCCCTCAACCACACCACACCATTCTGCTATGAAGTTTCCACACAAGAAGTTTAACACTCAATACCCTGAGACTCGTAGAAACTTATCATTTCAAATTCATGCCTGTTACATGATCGAAATGCACATTATATTTACCTCAAAGTCTCAAACTAAATAAAGACAAACTAACAAAGAAATAATTTTGATAAGAAACTTTAGGAAGTTAAAAGGTTTACACCAAAATTAAATAGTTGTAATTCTCAAAAAAAAAAAAAAAAAAAAAAAAAAAAAAACCATGATGTTCCCTCTCTCATAAGAGAATGAATAGTACAATAATCAGCACACTAATCGTCCCTTTCCTGCAAAATATTGATTGTCACCAATGGCACCCTCCGGGCGGTCAATCAATAATCATCATCCAGCAGAATTCTCGTGAAGCAATACATACTCACGGCTGTAAAAATACGAAGAATATAAATGAATGGAAATATTGGGAAACACAGATTAGGTTGGTGTTATTGCAAAGCACAGACACAGTTCCTTTATGCAACACATACCTGCTATTACCAAACTTTATCGTGTCTTTCTCCAAGAGTTCATAGTATCTCTGAGCTTCAATTCGATTGTCCTGTATAAAAGCAAATGCAGATCGAGTCGAATTAGAGCAAAGTTCTGTGGTAACAGTAAAGTTAGGAGATGATAAAGCCAACGTAAAAGACAGATAGTTTACAACTCACATTAATGAAAGTTCCATTTGTGCTCCCGAGATCCATTATGTAAGGCCTAATATCACCAAATCAATAACTTTCAGTTGGATACCCAGTGGCGAACATTTCACCGGCTTATGAAAGTCGAGCAATCAAAAACTGGAATACAACTTACCTTACTTGCTTAGACAAAGTACCATCAGGGTTCTCCTTCTCAACTTGCCTGTGAACCAAGAACAAATGATCAAACAAATGAATATCCTAACATCAATATGATGAACACTCTTAAATGGTGCTATACCGGTACTGAAGAACAGCGTGTTGCTTGCTGCAGGATGGATGATCTGTAGGAATGTCTGCAACCCTGCGTTCTCTCCCAAAAAGATAACAGCTTTGTCGATGCACATACAGGGGCTCTGTTTATTAAAGACATGTATTAACAAATCATTCAAAGCAATAATTCCCAATGCCCGTTGGAAAACATTAAACTGAGAAATAACGAAAAACATGGATCTCGTGGGCAAGAAGGCAAAGAGTTAAAAATAATCATTTTTAGAGAAATCCGCATGAAATAAGACAGCTTCACCCCAAACAAGTAATTGAGCTGCAAGTTGTTATATCGAAAAAAAATGATGGATAGACTTAATTCCATTGCCTTTGTCAACCCTAACATGAAGTTATAGCACTAAAGATAACACAAACTGCAAAAAAACTAATATATAATAGAGTAATAGACTAACCATGCTAGAAGACAAAATAAGAAGTCCATATTTATTCTAAATACATACACCAAGGAGATGGCAGCTATACCATTAAACACTTCACCACTCTTAAGGACATATAATCTCCACCTCACATCTGGTTTTCTAGCATCTGGTGGCTCATTGAAAAGAAGTGTTATGCCTGAAATTAAAATATGATACTTGATCAGCCAACAGGAATCCCAAATGCACTAAACAACTCTTGCACATATAAAAGATTGTAAAACAAATATAAATATATAAATATATAATGTATAACAGGGACCTCTTTTATGAAGAAAAGATACAAGTCCATTAAAATTTGCCTAGATGTTCAAGTAAATTTAATCATCACCTCTAACTCTATTAGTCTCTGCAGCCAGCTTCCCAGACAGCTCAAATGAAGGTTTTTCCTGAACCTAAATAGCAACAGAAAAAAAAAAAAAAAAAAAAAAAAAAAGGTTGAATAATTATGCACTCCGAAGACTTTCTGAAGCAGTTACCGAAATCTAACATTAAAATATCAGTAATCAGCCAAAAGAATCAAGGACAAGCTTAACAATCTTTTTACATGAAACAGAGTGCAACAGAAGCAAGAAAATTTAATAAAACAAGAGAGAACCATTACCTTTTCCTTAGCTTGCAGGGCCTCCTCAGCTGCCTTCATCTTAGTTAGTGAATCATTGTCATTATTCCTGCTCAAGCAAGAGAAGAATATATATGTATGTATGTATATATCCAGAGACTGTAAAAGGAATATATAGAATTTGAGCAACATTGAAAGATCTTTAACTGCATAGTTGTGAAAAACTTAACATGAGTGCTCAAACTGCTATGATAAACAATATCCTTTTACAAGTTGCATTGAGAAACAATAATATCTACAATCATCTTAAAGCTCCCAATGGCTTTCTTGTTCTATTATTGGAGCTCTATGAAATTATAGAGAACATCCCACATTATTATGGATTAGGGGTACAGCCTTATAGGTTAAATCTGCTACAGATAGTAATGAAATGAAATCATGCAGAATGGCAGAACCTAACCTGTGATCATCTCCTCTGGTGTGTGTCCCCTGTATATATAACAATATAATAAGATGCCCTAGCCACTATCTTCAACAAGAAGTACTACAAAATGTTATATGAACAGAAATTCAATCATCAATCACATAGATTCAGATAAGAATAGTAAAGACATACTTATCAAGACACATACATAGAGAGAGAGAGAGAGAGAGAGAGAGAGAGAGAACTGATACATCATATGGAAAAATAAAAATAGCTATTCAATAAGCAAGTAAAATATGAAATAAAACAAATTCTGTATTAATGCATGTCAATAAATATAGCAGATATTCTTCACATGGTTAATATTTTAACCACAACTGTCTGCTCAGCAGCAATACTTACAGCACAAAACCTATATTAGTAGGTTTAATACTTCAATTAATTTTGGAAGCAGAACTATAACAAGTTAAACTATATAACTTCTTCAAGAGATTAATTGCAGCAATATTCATATCAGGTATATCCAAGAGAACTGGAGACATGAAAGAAACACATAATATGCAAACTACTAATGTAAGCAGATATCAGAATATCACCAGATACCTCATCACGTTCTCTCCTATTTGTGACAGCAGGTGATCGAGATCTATGTTGTCGCCTATGGGAATGATCAGGAGAAGCCGATCTTTCATGCCTTGACTTTGAAGACCCATTATTATAACTATCCCGTCCTGATCTTCGTTCTCTTCTCTCAATTGGTTCATGTCTGTCGGAATCCTTTTCAGGGTGCCTAGTCCTGTCACCCCCCTTCCCATGATTTTTATCATGCTCCCTTTCAGCCTCTTTTTCAGCTTGAACTCTCATTAATCTTCTAGTCCGGGGTGAAGGTGAGCGAGATTTTTCCATCTTTGGTGATGACTCAGGAGATGTTGACCTTAGACGTTTGGGGGATTTCCTGTGGCCTGAAGTTTTGTCTCTGGTTGGTGAATGAGGTAGAGGTGAGACTGATTTTCTGCGTTTTGGAGACCTATTGCGAGTTGAAGGCTTCTCTCTAACTGGTGAATGAGATGCAGGAGATCTTGACCTCACACGTTTTGGGGATCTGTTGCGGCTTGAAGGCTTGTCTACACCATGTGAACTTCTCTGCCGAACAGGAGACCTTTCTCTGTGAGATGAGCTCCTCCTACTGGGAGACCCACGGCGTCTAGCAGGAGGAGACTTGGAGTCATTACGCCCCATTGGAGCAATTTGATTGCAGTTGAACAGTTATTTGTCTGAATGAGAGAAGAAAAGATTTATAAAAAAAAAAAAAAAAAAAAAAAAAAAAACATAAAATTAATACTCAGAAATCGTGGCCATTATTTCTCTTTCTTTCTCATTCCCAATTGTATTTATCACTTTAGACACAGAAACAGAGGTTGATTACACCAGTACTGAGAACCAATTTGCTTATATGTTTTGTTGGAAGAAACCCAATTTCGTTGTAACCAGAACTAGCACCCAAGAGCTTACAACCTCACTGAGGAGCCAGGAAATGAATGAATATAACCAAGACTGGGATTCAAAGTCGAAAGGCTTGGGAAAGACGGAGAAAGAGCTCACATTCAACTTAAAGAAACCACTCTTCCTTGAAGGTGCACTATGATTTTCCCAGCTAAACAATGAAACAATATACTCACAAGTAAATTGTACTATCACTCAACTCTATCTAAACTACAAAATCAAATCATATCTCTGTGGAAAATAAGGAAGGGTATCAACAACTACAAGCCATGAAATCCAAATTCCTATACATAAATCCTGAAATGGCCTTATATATTGCAGAAATTAACTGCGAGGAGAGACAAACAAAAGGCATTACCTCTCTGCAAGCCCGAAATAGAATTCGAGGAAAAGCTAAGGGAGAAGTGAAATTAATGGTTGGAGTGAAGGAAAACCGGCGCTACTCTGCTGCTTCTTCAACAACAACAAAAAACAATGTCACTTCTTTCTCTCCCCATCCCGACTAGAGTAGCTGGCTGGATGAAAGATAGACACGAGGTTTGAAGAGACAATTGCAACAGCAATGACGCGGTGATGCAGCAGCTCCAGAGGCCAATTTAGGAGTGACGTCGGCGGCAAAGCAAAAGGAAATTAACTCTTTTGGGAGAGAATTTTGACAGCATTTCGCAAATGGGGGATCAACTCTAGGGTTTGACAGCATAAGCCAACATCTTCTAGCCTTTTGTGGCAGAAGAGTTAGTTCGCGAACTAGGCAGGCTATCACCCTCTAGATCACTACTCTCAAACTCACACTCACTCCATGCACATAATATGTTAACTGTCAATCGTTAACATATTATATGCCTTTAGTTTATTTACATGCACATAATATGTTAACTGCATACACATAATTTTTAAAGAACCTTGCTCCTAGAGATGAAAATAGGCCGAGCCGAGCTGAGCTTTAGAAAAATAGGCCTGAGCCTGCTATAGAAATCTTAGGCATGAACCTAACACTGGGCCTATATGTAGGCTTTTTGTTAGGCTCAAGCCTGAGCCTACAATTGGCCTGGTCTGAAGCCGGTTTAAAAGCCTATTTGATATGTAGGCCACTAAAAAGGCTTCAAGCTCTGAGCCTATTCAAGGCCTACATAGGCTCTAACCTATAACTCATCTGCAGGAAACTCACGACCACCCTGGCTTTATATGCAGGAAACTCATCAAACAACATAACTTTCCCATAATAGAATATGGTCAGCTGGGCTACCTTAGGAGGCTCTTTTGGTGCTTCTTTGCTGCAAAGCACATTCATCCACAGCTACATAACCAACAAAACAGCTTCATAGTAACAACCATGAAAGCTTTTTAAGGTATACCAGACAAGAAAGGGACCAACCTAATACTGGCTGCTGCATTAGTGTTTTTTAAGGTATACCAGACAAGAAAATGACCAATCAAATTTCTAGAACAAACTCAAGAATTCAATAAAAATTTAAGCACTTCCAATTCAAAAGGCCAGAAAATAACTACTCAACAACATATGCATATACTAAAACTGGAAAACCCCAGAGCTGAAAGTCCAGAAAAATAATTATTTTATTACTCCAAAGCTTCATTCAGGCACCGTAGGCCAAAGCCTGCCGCAGGCGCAGGCCACCGCCGTAGCCGCAGCCTCCAGTGAATGTCGTAAACTAAGGAGTGAGGAGTCAGGAATAATACCTGTTATCGCCACTCGCCGGAGATTGACGCCGATGCCGGAAGCCGTCGTCGGTCATCCACTCGTCCAGTGTGGCGCTTCCCTGGCTCGCTGCGTCAATGCGAAATACAATTGGGAATTTTCATCCCTACTTGCTCCATGGTATAACAATTGCAACCCGCTGCCCGCATAAGTTTTGAATCTCCATCTAGACTGCATTTCTGCTTTTAGATCTCAAGGCTAAAAAAAGCCCAATTTAATTCAAACGGTCCACTCCAGCTAGCCCACATTTGGGCTTAGAAAGTCTTAAGCCATATATTCAACTTGACTACTTGAGTAGATTGTAATTACAACCCAAAAAGCTCTTTTAGTCCATAAAATAGTTAAATTTATAAATTAAACCTCTCAATTCTATAATGTTACAAATATCATTTTTAATTATTTCTAAATTGATTAAGTTGTGCCAAGGACCTTGTGGTCTAGTGACACCAAGTTGCTCTCTCATATGGGAGGTCGTGGCCGTGTGGGTTAAGTAGTATTTGGAAAAGGAGACCAAAGTTGGAAGCTACTAGCTTATTTTGAAACGCGTATTTTAAGCTACAAGCTATAAGCTATAAGTTCTGCCAAACAGACTCAAAAATAAATGTGAAAAATTAGCGAAATCAGCAAAAGATAAGAAAACCCATAGAAGTGGAAAAGATAAAAATAAAATAACTTTTCTAAAAAAAAATATCCTTTACTCCTTCATAATGTACCGTTAATCGCTCATTATTAATATGCTTTCCAATCATAAGCAAGGGCAACTCGTATTGTGGCTGTGCTAATTGGCTGGCTAATTTGGGACAAACAAGCGATTGGGGCATGGTCATTTTTTAGGATACTCCGATTGGGATTAGAGGATTTGATCAAAGTGACGCCGGTGGTTGAGTTTATAAATATTCATATTCATTATCTTGTTTAGGAAAATCTAAATCCACACATATTTGATTAAAATTACTAATAGATAATGCTTAAAATGATTCTGAAAATGACTACTAATAAACTATTTTATTCAAAAAATTTCTACACCAAATCATACCTAGGATGATAGGAACTACCTTTTCCATGTTTATCTTGTGACTTGCGTTGTTTCCTTTCTATTTAATATTTTGATGTACAAAAGAACAAAATAAGTGGCAGTGCAGTAGCATTTAATCCTTTAATTTGTAGCTTTAAAATAAACAAACATTTTGCCCATGCTAATCCCAGTCTTATGTATTAGATTTTTAATCCTTTCTTCTCTCTGGAATCCCCGATGGCTCCCTACACCCCGGCCCGACAAAATATTTAGAATGATGTAAATCAAGAATGACTCAGCAGACAAGGCTAATCGCCCCACTTTTAGCATAATCTCCACACTACCGCTGTCGAAGTTTTAACTTTGGTCTCTTCTCTCAAATACTACCTATTGAACTAATGACCTAAGCCCGTGCGGCTAGAGTTTTAATCATGTTAATAGTTATTATCACATTGACTTTACAATTTTTAAACTTTGCGACATTTCATTTGTTATTATTTGTGTGATCGAACTAATTAACATTTAAGTAAAAAGAATTACAAATTCAATTTTTGGTTTATAGGTTGAATGGATGTCATGTCATAATAAAAGTGATGAAGGATTAATTATCCCATAGAAGACTAAGAACAATTGAAATGCAAAAACAAGTAAAGTGATGGAAAGGACAATGGAATCATGTTTTCTAAACAAGACAAGAAATGTGTTTTTTGTGTTGTGTGTAAATAGTCATGGTTCTTAGAATATAGAAGTTCAATAATATTTCAACCATTTTCAACCTCCACTATTGAAGTTTGAACCTATAACCAACCATTTAAAATGATAGTCAGGATGTCATTGCACTACATGATAGTTGGTACAAAAAAAGGGTATTTAATTATATTATGCGAGAAGGATCTTAATAACTCTTTTGGTAATATCCCGTATAATTTGAATGCTCCTTCAAGTGAAGTCACACTTGGAATGGTTGGTGCTACCTTCCTTCATATCATTTATGTATGACCTCGATTGAACCAACCCTGAGGTTTGACCTTGGTTTGAGGCAACCTCGAGGTTGGGCCTCGATTAGCCAAACCATTGGTCATCCACTCTATTTACTCTCTTGGGCTTCGCTTCATGGACTTGTCTTCTTAGACTCAGTTTCTTATGCTTGTCTTCTTGAACCGCGTTCAATATATGATATATCCATCAAATAATAATATTAATATTATTACTATTATTATTAATAGTAGTACTAAAAAATTATTATTATTATTATTATTATTATTATTATTATTATTATTATTACTAAAAAACAATAATAAGGAAAAGAGTACTTTTGCCCTTGAATCATAGGATTTTGCGTCACCTATTATCATTTTTCATTCCTCAATTGTTTGGGAAGCTAAGTAGTGTTTTTCATCCTTGAGTTCTATATAGGTTGGATTAAAAAAAAAAAAAAAAAATTACTTCGCATACAATTAAGAAACCAAAAAAAAAAAGTCAACTTACAAAAAATGATAACGTTGACTAATAACAAGTGTTATTTTCCTATAATGCAAGGACAAACAATTTCATTTTCCTTTAATCATACGTTCTCAACCTAATGGAGCACAACGAGTTAACAACGCATCCACTGAGGTTCGATGTCATGACCTCCCACATGAGAGAGGTCACTACATGTCATCTCCACATCAGAGCACAAGGTGCTTGACATAATTTATAATAGGAATAAGGTTCAAATTGGCCACTGAACGTAACCTGAAAATGCAATTAGGCTACTGAACGAAAAAAAAGTACAATTAGGCCATTGAACACTCAAAAAATGTGCAATTAGGCCACTGAACTCTCCAAACGTATGCAATTTTACCGGATAGCAGGTTACCATCAATTTTAGCAGGTTACCTGCTTACGTGGCAGCTTAGTTGGCATTTTTAATAATTTTTAAATAATTTTTAATAATTAATTTTAATAATTAATTTTATAAAAAATTGGAAAAAATTAAATAAAAAATAAAATAAAGTCGTTTTTATTTTTTAAAAAAATTTTTTAATAAAAAGTTATTATTAAAATTTATTAAAAATTAATTAAAATTTATTTAAAATGCCAACTCAGCTGCCACGTAAGCAGATAACCTGCTAAAATTGAGGGTAACCTGCTATCAGGTGAAATTGCACATTTTTGGAGTGTTCAGTGGCCTAATTGCACTTTTTTTTCGTTCAGTGGCCTAATTGCATTTTCAGGTTACGTTCAGTGGCTAATTTGAACCTTATTCCTTTATAATATTAAGTAAAGAAAAAAAGAGAAGTACTAAAAAAAAAAAAGTAAAAAGATAAAATGACAAATTTTGTCCTTGAATTATAGAAAACTGATACTTTTATCCCTAGATTATTTTCATGGCTACTTTTAATCCATCAATTGCCTATTATATATGTAGTGTAATATGTAACGTTTTTCTATTTAAAGAATAAAATGTATTAAAGTTTTCATTTACTTAAAATTATTTTAACTTTTTTCTAAGTTTTGGTACAATAACAATAACAATAACAATAACAATAACAATAACAATAACAATAACAATAACAATAACAATAACAATAACAATAACAATAACAATAACAATAACAATAACAATAACAATAACAATAACAATAACAATAACGATAACAATAACAATAACGATAACAATAACGATAACAATAACAATAACAATAACAATAACGATAACGATAACGATAACGATAACGATAACGATAACGATAACGATAACGATAACAATAACGATAACAATAACAATAACAATAACAATAACAATAACAATAACAATAACAATAACAATAACAATAACAATAACAATAACAATAACAATAACAATAACAATAACAATAACAATAACAATAACAATAACAATAACAATAACAATAACAATAACAATAACAATAACAATAACAATAACAATAATAATAATAATAATAATAATAATAATAATAATAATAATAATAATAATAATAATAATAATAATAATAATAATAATAATAATAATAATAATAATAAGATTTGAGGTGGACATGCTTTTTGTA